TAATTATTGACAAATCAATCCCCTTTTGTCTTCTATCAATGAAATATTGTATATATAAATGTAACAATAACAACAATCACGACTATTAACAAGTTAGTTTTCTCTTCCACGTGAAATTATTATAATTTAATGTTGTATAATAGGAACAATTTATAAAATATTTGTCCATTTATGTATACATTATACATATAAACAAATGCAAACCATCTGCGTGAAATAGTTGTAGTTTACCCAGCGTACTATTTACCACAAGTAGCATAGTCCGTTATAGCGATTGGTTTGTTAACTAATTACTGACTGTAACTAGTGGAGAAATACTCAAACGTTAATTACTCTCGCAAGACAAATCCGATTATGGACCGTACTTTAGTTAGGCGATTCCGATACACACTGAGCGTATCGTAGTGTCAGTGTTAAAAAATTCATTCGTATTATTAGAAACGCGTTCTAAAATTATGCAAATAAACAACTGTACCAAAAAAAAAAAAACAGAACATTGATAATTTAGATTATTCTTTTATTTTACACAAAATACAATAATAGGATATAAAAAATAAAATTTCTCGGTGCACAATCAACAGTTACTCTGAATTTTGGCTTTCTTTTTGTAAATATTGGTATAATATATCGGTAAAAAGCCAAATATTTCGGTATCAAATCGTACATCATATGAAATGTCAACGAACATCAGCGACATATCGCAACAACGTGTAATAACTTGGCTCAGGATTCCTCAAGAAAACTTTAGATAGATATAAGAGAATACTACTTATCCAGACTCGCGGAAATATCCCCGCAGTGGATTTCGCCTCGCAAGAGCCAGACGTTCTCCAGTTTAACACACGCTCAGCTATCCGGAGTTCCTCGCTCCAATGCATTCGTATGCAATTTCGTCTCGCGTGGAAGATACCTTTCACTGGTTTCCCATTATACGCAACTGTTTCAACGTGTAATAAGAAAGCATAGCGGGAAACGGGCGAGATATCTTATTTATGATAAAAGACGTGGCTTCTTAGCACAACGTAAAGCATAAGCATTTCTCACGTAGTCTAATTGAAATAACATTTGAACAAATGCATGTAATTAATATACGCGTGCTACAATTGATATAAGGTTTTAAATTTTATCAAATTATTAGATCCTTTATTAAAACGATTAAAAAATCCGAATATTGAAATAGAAAAATGTGTGCGTGTGTGTGTTGTATTCGAATAAAAAAATTCTTGACATGAGTTTAATAGTCGAGAAATATATAAAACGTAATTCGTATTTTTTGTGTGTGTGTGTGTGTGTGTGTGTGTGTGAGAGAGATCATTACATAAAAACTCGTATATCTTAATTATTTTAATTTCAATCTCTTTCTCCTTTGCATAAAACATTCTGTATTTCTCTCTGTAATTTCATAATGAATGGTTTTTTATTGCTGCCGCATATCAATCGATAAAAATGCTGAATACGGATATGAGAAAAAACAACACGCGGTTTTCCCGTCCGATGGAATTGGAATAATCGAGTATGCCCTCCGCTTTGTTCTCCAGGCGCGATGATAATATCCAGCGTCAGGCACGACGTCCAAACGGTGACGAAGTCACCGTTCGAGGTCCGGATGATCCTGACGATCCGCAACTTGCAGAAAAACGACGTGGGAACGTACCGGTGTGCAGCCAAAAATTCCCTCGGCGAGGTCGAGAGTAGTATTCGATTATACGGTGAGTACACAGCGCGTTTTCGACCGTTATCAAACGAAGTTTTCCGCGGAGCCCATAAAGAATACCTAATTCGATTACTCGACGGAACGCAGTCAAAACGGGGGGGAGAATTCCGCGCCGCATTTCGTTTCAATGCACGTGTACATTTGTGGATAATCAGGATTCTTCCTACCTTCCTCCCTTTTTTTTCCCCCTTCGTTTTATTCTTTCAGATAGTCGTAACGCTAGGGATTAAGATTTCGTACCGTAAAATAAAACCTGCAAATAGACCGACAGATAATTGCGCGGGAGGTCAACGGTGAAAAGTTTGTTCTGCAAACTGTGCGAATGAATTATTATACATATAAACACCGCGCCGGGATTAATTTTCTGCTTGTTACAGTTGATAACATCTATTTTCTTTATAACACTGTTCTCTCTTTGTAATACCTATTAATATTAATATCAAGTAAACACCATTTAAATTTCAAATATACACGTTGCGGAGAATCTCTTTGTCAGAAAATCTTGATAAATTTTTCTTTTCATTTATCTCTCTATGTGGAGAGTATTTAATAACAAATAGCAAGAAAAAATTCAAGAGATTAAACTCTAAACTCTTGATACTTTGCAGTAACTAATTACAAGCCGCGAATCAAGACGCGAAGAAATAAAATCTGTACAACGCTAAATAAAAAAAAATAAAAAACAGTTAAGATTCTATTTTACTCTTTATTTGTTAAAATTTGATTTACCAGATTCTTCAATTCTTGGCGTTAAATAGCTTTATTGGAGAAAAGAAATTTAAAGCGCCAGATCCGTCAAGAAATCCGCTTTTAGGATATTACATCGTGCAAATCGCTCTACGCGTGACTTGTGAGCGGAACGATCTTGAACGCGTTCGGGTAACAAGGCTCTCGACTACTCGCAACGAACGAATTACGACGCGGAAACGACTTTTTGCCGCACGTTGCAACTCGGTTACAGCGATATCTCGTGAACCGTTGTAGGGTCGACGCGAGGAACGGAATTTACTCTCTCGCGCATGACCTGTTATTTCTATATTAATGTGGCGGTTTGCGAGGTTAACGAGTCTCCTGTACTCGGCGTGAAAATTGTTGTTCATGTCTCGCTTCCGCCGTCAATAAACCGGCGTCCGCCTCGGGCCTACCTCTGCCGTGACTGATCGTGGGATGATATGGAATAAGAGGATTTCCTCTTTACGGCAAACACACCTCGCGTTTACAAGCATCGTCACTTTATGGACGGAAATCTCCGGGGAGTTGCCTCTATATCAACGGCAGATGCCCTTCGGTCAATCCTCATCTTTTCGCGTGCGCGACGTCGGATTTCTTGGCTAGCTTACAGCCCTCCTCTCCCCCTCCTCCCTCCGGGAAGACGGAAGGGTGAGAAGATAAGGCTGGGCGAGTGCAGTATACCCTTCGCGTTCGTAAATCGTCGCGTGTTATCGACCCATCGATTTCGAAAACGGGGGATCTTCATCCGGTGCGGTAGACGTAAGGATGACATATTTGCGTACGTAAATTTAAAGATGACGATACAAGAGATCGTCTCGCCCGTGCATTCGCGCTTCTTACTTGCTAGTGTTAACAAAATCTTCGTAAAATCGGGAATTTCAAACTCGCTAAAGAAGATAATGCAATCGATTTTACCGAGAGGCAATCTTCTCGAAACTTACCACGGAATATTCCGATAGAAACTTCAGAAAACATGTTATATATAAGATACTCATGCACGTGTCCACCTCGTCTGGTACTAAACTCTGTACATGGGAATAACACGTGGGTTGAGTTGTCTTATCTACAAGCAACCCCAGTTTGACCTTTACTCCTTTATTCAGGAGATTCCCGATGGAGAAAGTTTGTAGCATCAAAACTCTCAGATAAGTGCCGATAAATTCGTGACATTACTACTTTTCGAAACAATGTAATAAAAAGGGTCGTGTTATAAAGCGTCAGGGCATCACCACAAGCAGCTTACTCATAAATTGCTTATTACGGATGTATTATGTATATATAATCTTTGCAAAAGAGCCTGGTATTGAAAAATACTTTTCCGTGTACAACAATGAACGTCATATACATATAAAACAGTTTATAATAAGATCAATAATATTTATATTTAATGAAAAAATATTATTTTATAGTTTAAGAGCTTTCTTATTTTATCTTAATTATTCTTTTAAAACAGTCTACTTCTTAAAATACTTTTTAATTCGGGTCTAAATCACTACGACATTTTTTTATTACTTTCGAATACAATATACAAAAAATATAACATTTTCACGTTTTATTAAACAATACGAGTACATATTTAATATATGAGTTTCGATTATTACTCTAATATTCCAATCGTACCTCGGATAATCACACCTTTGAATATTTTTCCAATTATATACTGTTAAATGTATATATAGTGTCAAATTTAACCTAATTTAAGTCGTCGCTACTTTCACTCAATATATCGTGATTTTATATCGTTTTAATATAAAATATCTTTAGATTCTAGAAGCAGTGACGACTTGAATCAGGTTAAATTTGACACTACACACTGTTAAAGATAAAATGTTAATTTTAACTTAAAGACGTATAATGGATTTTCTGAGACATTCGAGAACGTTAAAATTAACATCTTTTATACAAAAACATATTAATTTTAGCATTTTTGCATGTTTCAGAAAGTCCGCTGTACGTCTTCAAAAATTAGCATCGTCTTGATACATCTTAAAATTAACACTTTATTTTTAGTAGTGTGGATGCTTCCTTTTTTTTGCGTCAGGTTCATCAGAACCGCGTATTTTTCCTCTGTTTCAGAGATCTCGGGGCCGGCGAAGACGCAAACACCGGTGTTAACGTTGTTCTATGACGAAGAGGACGAGGTAGTGTTCGGTTCAGCGGAGATGGACAAGACGGAGAACAAGCCACTGGCGGTGGATAACACGGTCCACGGACATATGGGTTATCCGTCGCTCGCCACGCCGTCCTCCACGATTCGCGTCGGCAAGAAACGACCGATCAACGTCAGCTCGGGCGCTGATCCTTATCCACGACGGTTCTTCGTTCTGATATCACCGCTGTTGTCGCTTCTAATCGTTTGCCGAAGATGGTGATGGTGAAATGGGAAAGTGGGAGCCGAGAAATTCTCGAGGACTTACGGTCGAGGCAGCCATAGTCAGTACTCGCGAATGCACGTTGCGGTTCTCGTAACGCGATCTTTCGCGCAACGGTGTAAATCACTTTCGGAGAAGAAGCGTTGTTATACATGCGATCGACACTGGACGACCATAGAATCAAAGTTGTTTGTATAGCAAGCTGCCGCGAAAGGAAACAAATAGATAGAATAGGTATTTGAGAAAATTCGGGTGCTATTCTCCGAACGCGCGTTCTGTATTTTAATTTTGACTGATCAGTGCGAAGAAGAAGACGCCGCCGCCGCAAGCAGCTTGCTCGGCTCTACGCGGCAAAAACAACTTCGAATGGGCTTAAGTCGCCGCCGCCGACGACGACGTATCGTCTTCCCTGAGTGACTTATTCGTAATTCGTAGACCTAATCAATGCATCGGAAGCTCGCGGAAGGGATGAACCAGGTGAGGCTGAAGACGTGCATCGCTGGGCGTATATTGATCGTTATACTTGAATCGGTGAGTGCTAGAGTTAATTATGTTCAGGGATCGTAATAATTTATCTCGTGTCTATTTTCGATATTCTTATAAACTTAAAATGATACCCTAGATTTTTTTACTTCTGCAAAATTAAGCCAGTGCATAACCCCATTATGATACGCGCAGGATATTATCGTTCTACTCGACCTCAGTGGTGATTTAAAAGAATGACATTGATATTAACATCAGTTGAGCTAAATAACAATTTTTCGTAAAACATCAATTTCCTATCTATAATTGTATTTTTATTACGTGAAAGCCCACGCGTTATCAAATCAAATTACGAGTTCTCGATCGAGTAAACCGAAACGCATTTATAAAAAAAAAAAAAAGAACAATGAACGCAAAAAAGTGAAGAGGAAGCTAATGAAGCGACAGAGGTGGAAATTTAACAGATAAAGTCAAACGACGCGTCAAGGAGAACATATCTCGAAGAGAGTGAAGAAGATAATCCCGAATAATATTCGCGCGGATCGAAGGGTCAGGTGCGTAACTTCTCAGTTTCGGCGGCAATAAATTTGCGTGATATGTACATATTTACGTGTATCATATACAGGCACGCTCGCACGTGTATATGTGTGCATACGTCAGGGTAAAACTAACACATTCGTGCCACTTTTCCCCAGCTCCCCGCTGCGCTCTCCAGTCGCGTGCGAGCGGCGTGGCGTTTCATAGATAGCCCTTACGATTACGCCGGTGTAATAGGATATGTATCGCGAGTTTAAACGAGTATTGAAAGCTTTAAAGGAGTTCGAGCCGGAAGTAGCAAAAGAACGCCGGTGTCTCGAGACGAATCGATCGCGGACGAGCGACCTCAAGTTGTCCGCCACACACGCCTCGATCACGGACGTGCGATCGTACCTGGTCCCTCTCCCGCAAACTTTCTTTTCTCTCCCACACAAGGTTACCGTTTACTCGAGGGAGTTTTTACCGCACTCTCGGTTAGCAGCTCTCGATAGCAAAACTCTCCAGTCAACACGGAATTAAGTATGTCTTTGGAGAAACATTTAGTACTCTATCTTTTTGAATGCGATTTTCTTTACCAGCAGAGTGGAGAGTCGTTTTCAATGATTGTTCACTCGAGGATTTTGCCTTTGAAGAAGAACGATCCTCGATATTAGAATCTTTTTTTTGGTTAAAATAAAATTGAGTGATGTTCATCGGGCATTTACTTGAAAACTTTAACAGCAACTGTCAATCGTGAATTTAACACAAAATTGAAAAAACGATACTAACCAAAACTATTCTTTGTCAGATATAAATATCTATTTTATATTCTGTAAAAGCGGAAAAAATCTTAAGAGCACATTTTTTCATAAAAGAAAGGAAAGGAAAGACTTGTACGAATTAACATTTTACGAATAACGCAATTAAAGAGTACATTTTCGGCTATTATTTAAGTAAATGAAAGTAAAAAATTAAAAAGTATTGGTTTCACTCTCTTAGTACGAGGTTAATTCTCATTGTCAATATTTTATATGTTATCCGCTTTAATGGCAAGACAATAAACTCAATATTTTATATCTTTATCTGTCAAATTAAGGTAATAAATATGATATTGCATACAACCTGACATTTTTATGATCACAGAAAGCTGATTCTTTTAAATTTATAATTTCGAGAAAAGGTATAAAAATTACAATATGATATTGGACTAATTTCAATCATATCACCAAAGTAAAATGAAATTGCCGATAAAAATATAAAAAATTGCACATTATATGGTACATATTATATTATGAAATACCTACGTATAAAATAGACATTTTTAATGAGAGGGCTCATTTTTAAATATGTAAAAGATTTAAAAAGCGATAAAAATACTTAAAAGTCTGTATCAGAATTACAAGCTGTAATGAAACTTATACGGAGCAATTCAATCAAAATATGATAAGTCAATAAAAATTTCACCGCGATCGCGCGTCCTACGATCAGGAAGTATCTGGATTATACTCGTTTCCGGTGAGCCAAACGATTAATAAGTGTTCGATAAATCAGTGACGATCGTTTTCTGGCGGAAGTTGCTTCGAGCGAGTATGAAGAATTCATACATGAAAGAAAGAGTGGGAGCAATAGAGTGAATGTAGCGAGAGAAAGAGTGAGAGAGAGAATGATACTAATTATATTTTTATATTTCCACCATAGCGTGCTTACGTTCCGTATCGATAGATTTTTAATTACTGTCAAAGCCTCGTCCCAGCCATTTCAATCGTTGCTATCGTGACATTCGGTTTTCGCAGTAATCTTCTCTAATTATGCTTGATGTTGCAACAGCGAGCGTCGTGACGTAATAAGCGTTGGCCGTTCCGATTCTGCTTACGAATCTCCATCCTATTTTCAGACAAAAATTCCACAAAGTGGATCCGACACAACTATGGAGAGATAATAAAATCGATCGCATCGATTCCCACATCACTCGCTACGACAGTTTTGTATTCACTTGCTAAATAAATCGGGCGTCCCCGTGGGTGCTTGGGTTTGAAGTTTTATGGCAACTGAAATTGCGTCTCGTTACGCTTCGCGGTTCGTTTTCGGTACTCACCGACAGCTCTCTCGTAGGAGCGTCATACGTGCCCAATTTCCATTAAAATCTATTTTCGTGTGTGTCTCAATCGATTTTTCATGATCGGTTCGTCCACCTAATTGCTCTTAAATATCGAGCGAACGTTTTCACGTGATTTTTCACGGAAAGAGTTAATTCTATCGCTCTATCCTACTTTATTCCAGAGTAAAGACTGTAATGAAATTTTTACGTATATCGCAAATAGTTTCTAAGTGATATTGACGGTTTTTAAATGAAAAAAAAAGAGATGTCTTTTAATGACAAAATAGTTGCAAAAAACTAACGTTTCAAAACACATGAAAAAATAGAGACACGTTAAATGATATTTCAGAAGAACCATTATATTCTCGATATTGTATATTGTACAATCACGTTTCTCTCCGCTGACACATCGTATCTGATAAATTTGTCGTTTGCAACGTTTTTCTGGGGTACTCTTCAATTAACCAATGGCCCATTTCGCATGCAATATAATATGCGAGGTGCCACATTCGTCACTGCAATCTACGTCGAAATAGCCAGTCGCAAAAAACCCAGTTCACGAAGCGTCCTCAAGCGTCCTCACGAGAGCCAATGAATGGTCTCTCTCTCTCTCTCTCTCTCTCTCTCTCTCTCTCTCTCTCTCT